TATGTCCCACTTGAATGGTGGTCCTTCTGTGTCCAAAATGTATCAAAAAGATATAGGGACAAGGTTTTCACATTGACAGCTATTATTGTAAGACAGTTAGCAACTCAGTTTGTTCGTCCGAGTTCGCAACAATTACTAAGGGGGGCGGGGCTTACCGACTGGCCAATTTAGAACAGCGAGCTGCAAGAACAGCTTACATTACTCGAACAAGAAAAAGTGTGTACGTCTGCTCAGAGCCTGATGTGACGCTAAGCACTTTCCCACGTCAAATAAAGTTTTTACAAATGTGACCCTGGACCACAAAACCAGTCTTAAGTCGCTGGGGTATATTTGTAGCAATAGCCAAACTGTAAACCCTCGCTTCCAAATTAATACCCACAATATTCATTTTAAAATCTTTTATATATCCCTCCATGGCATATTTAAGTCTGGTGGTCCTTCTGTGTCCAAAATGTATCAAAAAGATATAGGGACAAGGTTTTCACATTGACAACTATTTTCAAATAGTTGTATCTTGGCCAAATATTGTCCTATTCTAACATCCTAACCATACATCAATGGAAAGCTTATTTATTCAGCTTTCAGGTGATGTATAGATCTCAATTTCGAAAAATTGACCTTTATGACTGGTTTTGTGGTCCAGGGTCACAAATATGAGCGCTGGCGTGGATTTAAGCGTATGCACAATCTAAGATCAAATCTGTGCGTACGCACGCTTTATAAACGAGGCCCTGAAAGTAAACTACAATACACTGGAAAGAGTAAAATGACCGTGTCATTTATTTAAAGAGCATTTTATATTGGTATAACTTAAAATAATGGTTTCAGGTTTAAACCTGTTCTGTTCAGTTTTCTAATAAGCAAAACTCCTCATATTGCTTTAGTGACTGATTATTTTTTAGTACATAACAGGAAATATGATGCATATTTTAATCATTAAAGGGATAGTTCACCCAAAAATGAAAATCCTGTCATAATTTACTCACCCTCAAGTTGTTTCAACCTTTTGTAAGTGTACGGTATTTCTTCTGTTGAACACAAAAGAAGATATTTTGAAAAAAAAAAAAAAAAAACTTGATGGTCCCCATTGACTTCCATAGTATTTTTTCTATACCCATATTCTTCAAAATATCTTCTTTTGAGTTCAACAGAAAAAAGAAATTTGTACAGGTTTGGAATAACTTGAGCGTGAATAAATAATGACATAATTTTTGGGTGAACTATCCCTTTAAGCTCTTTTGAAATTGCCGTCATTTATAGTAAATAAACTAAATTAAACATTGACTAATGAAATGTTTTTAGTTGTATTTTAAGTAAAAATTCTACTTTTATATTATAGCTAATTTAGCTTTTTGTGAACTTAAGTTGTAAAAAAAGATTATTCTAACCTACATTAAGTACTATTTTGGCTTACGTCTAGTAAGTATGGTATAGTCTTTATAATAAATGTTTTTACTTTCTTTGAAGATAAACATTTTGGGGACTTTTTAAGAACTTAACCTAAATATAATTTGAGAAAACTAATACATTTGGCTTAACAAATTTTATTTTAATAGTATTTTTTTTTTTTTTAAGTTGGTTCAAAGTATAATTTTTTTTCCAGTGTACCGGGCCTTTGAGATCTCTCACTTGGCTGGCAGACAAACTCTTGTAGTCACATGGTCTGCTCTTTTTCCTGTTTGAGGACCATTAAGTCTTACCATGACCCTTCACATGCCTCTCATGTGATGGGATTTTCAAACATTCTTCTAGAATCACGACAAATCAGATAGCTTGAGGTGCTTAATTTCTATCCTTCTGCTGCTTGTATCTCCTTCTCTGCCTCTTCCTACGCTCTGCATTCGAGTGGAAATCTGTGCTTTGCTTCGGGAGACTCAGCTCCATTCATGTGTGCTGCAACATCTGTTGTCATAACGCTCCCTCGCAGCGTCACTAGCATGCAGGGCTCATGTTTCAGTATGTCAGCATGATACGCTCGGCAGACTGGCATCACATTGCCTCCCTCTCTAACTGGGACTCGCCAGGGTTTATTTATTTTCACTTCTACAAACTGGCCAGTTACAAACTCAAGCCTGACCTCCGGCTAGTAACGCACATCACACACTGAGATTTACGACATTTCTCCTGAGAACGGCACATCACTGGTGGAGTATTGCCACAGACATCACATTTTTGACGTACAAATATTATGACAAATCATGGCAACTCACATTTTTTTGCAATGCGGGCACTTGGCCAGTGTATTGAATCGGAGCTCCATCCACTGCAAAAACAAGGAGAGTTGAGAAAGAGGTTACTTCTACAGTAAGCAAACACACAGCAGGACAAATCATTTTCAAATCTACACCAAACTTGATTCCAGCGGTCAGTGCATAACATTCAATATTAGTTTAAATGGCTACTGATAAATTATTCAAACAACTAGCAAATCTTTTGGAGACGATTTCAGTGAATAAATTGACATGTATAAAGGAATATATTAGGAGAATTAGTGAATTTAACCCTGTACAAAGGCAAAAAGCAGTTAAAAAACTAGAATTCTTTAAGATTGTAACAGAAGATCTCACAAAAAACATGTAAACCAAATTTTTCTGTTGCTGCATCTTGCCTCTGTAAGGCTACAAGGAGTTATGATCATTTGAGTCCCAGGGCTCCAGACAAAAATATACAACTTTACCTGAAATAAAAAGCTTTTGTAACATTATACATTATTCAAAAGCTTGGAGTCAGTATAATTTGTGGGGGGGGGATTATAGAAATCAATACTTTTATTTAACAAGAATGCTATAAATTGATCAAACGTGATGATAAAGACATTTATAATGTTACAAAAGATTTCTATTTCAGATAAATGCTGTTCTTCTGAACTTTCTATTTATCAAAGAAACCTGAAGAAAAGTATACTCAGTTGTTTTCAACATAATAATAATAATAATAATAATAATAATAATAAATGTTTTTTGAGCAGCAAATCACAATATTAGAATCATTTCTGAAGGATCATGTCACTAGAGTAATGATGCTAAAAATTCAGCTTTGAAATCACAAGAATAAATTACATTTTAAAATGTATTCAAATAGAAAAGTTATTTTAAATAGTAAAAATATTTCAAAATTTTACTTTTTTGCTGTATTTTGGATCAAATAAATGCAGGCTTGGTGAGCAGAAGAGAATTCTTTAAAAAATGTTCAAAATCTTTTGACTGGTAGTGTATATACAAGTAATACATTTTAATTTTAGTTTATTTTTCACAGTCTGGAGCCCTGGAATCATGCATTTCTAATTAGTTTGTCATTCTGTCAGTTCCACCAGCTGAGAAGGTGGCAGTGTATTAGGACCTTGAAAAGATCAGAGGGGCCGCGAATAGCCAGGTCTGAGGAAGACTGGGAGCACTCATCATCATCATCATCATCGCTGCCCTACACAGCAGGGGCATCACAGGACACTAAAAACATGTACACTAGAAAAACTCTACACCACATGTACACTACCCTACAAAAGTCTGAGGTCAGGAAGATTTTTAAAAGAAAGAAATGAATACTGTTATTCTGCAAGGACGCATTAATTTGAAAATGACAGTAAAGACATTTATAATGTTACAAATAATTTTGCTCTTTTGAACCTTTTCTTTATCAAAGAATGTATCACGGTTTCCACAAAACATATTGAGTGGTACAATTGTTTTTAATATTGATAATAATAAGAAATGTTTCTTGAGCAGAAAATCAGCATATTAGGGGTCGTTTACACGACAACGTTTTCAGCCAGAAATGGGAAACTTTTTATCCGTCTTGCCTGTTGTTTACACGACAACGGCGTTTTGGGGACTGAAAACGCATATTTTTGAAAACGGGATTCAAAGTGCAAGTTTTTGAAATCGCCACCGTTATCGTTTCAGGTGGTACAATTGTTTTTAATATTGATAATAATAAGAAATGTTTCTTGAGCAGAAAATCAGCATATTAGGGGTCGTTTACACGACAACGTTTTCAGCCAGAAATGGGAAACTTTTTATCCGTCTTGCCTGTTGTTTACACGACAACGGCGTTTTGGGGACTGAAAACGCATATTTTTGAAAACGGGTTTCAAAGTGCAAGTTTTTGAAAACGCCACCGTTGTCGTTTCCGTGTAAACACCCAAAACGGGAATCTTTGAAAACGGTGACGTCATGCGCGTGCGTAGTACGTGTTAGGTATGTAGACATGCGCAGTACGTATTGATTTTAATTACCCTAAACCAAATTTTTTAAATAAACTGGCTAAAAAAATGTTTGAAGGAGAATTCAGTTTGGTTCTGGATTCCTAATATGATTTTCAAGAGATGTGGAAATTTACAGTTTTTGCTTTCTTGTGATTTTAAGTCCACAAGGCTCCCTATGAAGCTTTCAAACTTCCATAAGCAAGCTTTAGACTCATGGAAGCTAATCTTTAAACACAATTTTTCCCCTCATATTATTTGGAATAATCAGTATGTTTTATCAGCTCGTAAATCTGTTTTCTTCCCTGATTGGTTCTCCAAGGGCATTGTGTTTATCTCAGATTTAATAAGCAACAGTGGAGATTTTTATGCTTATGTTGATTTTATTAATAAATATGGGATAAATGCTTCAAAACGGGACTATACTACTATTACAAATTCCATTTCTCCTAAGTTGTTATTTTTAATGAAGTCTTTTAAAATATATTGTAATTTTAAGTTGATTATCCCTCGATTATTTATTCAAGGGGTTAATATTATGGATAATAAGTGTACAAACAAATTTTTGAGAAACTTTGTTACTACTAATAATGCTTCATCTTTTAAAGCTTATGGAAAGTGGTTGGCACTTTATCCAAATGTTAATTTTCAGAAAGCATGGACAGTCCCAAACAAATTTTTATTTAATAATAAAATAAAAGAAGTTCATTTTAAAATTATTCATCATTATTACCCCTGCAACAAATATTTAAGTAAATTTATACAAAATCTTTCTCCACTCTGTTCTTTTTGCCAAGAAGAGGAAGAATCTCTTTCACATTTATTCTATTTCTGTCCTTATACTAAACAATTCTGGCTTCAAATTTCAGCATCTTTACTTCTTGTATTCTTTCGGCTATGTAACATTTCAGCAGTTAAGGTTCTCTTTCATTCTGTTGTTTCTGACAATAGGGAGCTAGAGGATGCCCTGGACTTTATTTGTATGATGGGAAAATTCCACATTCACAAAGCAAGATGCCTTAATTTTAAACCTAATTGTAAAATATTCACTTCTGATTTACTTTTGTTTTACTCATCACTTCAAAAAATCTCCTCTAATAAAAAAGCCTTAAAAACATCCAATCTTATAAAAAAAATCATAAATAAGTTGTAACTTTTATGATTGTAAAATAATTGTATATTTGTTTACCTTTTAATTGTTTTTGTATCCCCCATGTGTTTATGCATATGTTTATGTTCCTGTTCTAATAAAAAAAAAAAAAAACGTGTTGATTTTAAAGGCAAGCATGAACAAACATACACAACAATGGCAGAACTGAGTACACTTCCCTACAGGTACTGTTTACTAACAAGGTGACAGCGCCAACTACTGGCCTGGCATACATAATATAGCGTTTTTGGCCGTTTTTGCGGATATGTGTAAACGCGAATCGTTTTGAAAACGTTGTCGTGTATACGTGAAACTTTTTTAAAACGCAAGGGGAAAATATTTCTGTTTTGTCGTGTAAACGTAGCCTTAGAATGATTTCTGAAGGATCGTGTGACACTGAAGACTGGAGTAATGATGCTGAAAATTCAGCGTTGACATTACAGGAATAAATTACATTTTAAAATGTATTTAAATAGAAGGCAATTATTGAAATGTTACTAATACTTCCCAATATTACTTTTCAAATAAATGCAGCCTTGGTGACCTTACTGACCTCAAGCTTTTGAATGGTAGTGTAAATGCATTCACAGATCTTCTCTGCTTTGAACATACTGACACGGGAAGAAATATTACTGTAGGTCAGAGATGAAATATTCATATAAAGATGTGAGACCGTACAAGGAATGTGTTGCCGCAGTGGCCGCAGACCACGCGCATGCCCTCAGGCTGGACTGGCAGAGCTGGCTGGGTGGGCTGCTCCTCTGGGATCACCATCACAGGACTCAGGTTGATGATCCGTCTGCTGGGGGCCCATAAAAACAATGTCAGTTTTTCACTTTCTACATATTGTAAGTATTATATTTAGTATGCTATTAAGTATGTATCTTGTTTGATAACCATAACCCTAACCCTATCCCAATCCCTATCCCTAAATTATTAATATGATCAAAACCCTGTTGTACAGAACCTACTACATGTTGTCTGTCATCTGATTAATAGTTTATACATTTTTAGAAATTAAAAGGCCTTTTAGTGTAATTGTAAAAAAGCTTGTGGTACTTGTGTCTTTTAGCTGAAAGTGGCAAAATCCTAAATTATTTTTATATTGTTAGTAATATTTCAAGATGGACACTTACTGGACTGAGGTTTACTTGATTATCTATACATCTTTTTTTTTTTAATCTGAAAAATCATCATTGTATTATATTGCATTATATGTTTTGCCCCCACAATAAAAACTACAGAGCTTTGATCATAAAACTAAGCATTTAAATACCATCTAAGACAGAATACTGTGAGATATATGAGCAATATCACTCTCGTACTCGAGCGATACCGGCTCTATATCAGCATGGCTGTGATTAGGCCAGAGGCA